CAAATGAGAGAAATACATAGAGAGAGATGCCTTTCGCAATGCAATTTATATAAGAGTACGGATTTACAAGTTAATTAGCTACTGCGGCTGCGTGACCCGACATACTCCCCCCGTTGGAAGGCTGGGTTTTAACATCATCCCTAAGGGGCAGCAGACATAGCTTGTTAACTGCTCGCATTGTCACTACTGACACTGTCTTCAGAACGGCAACTCGAGCAACGCCATCTCCACCGAACAGAAGCTCAATCACTCTGGCGAGGGGCCACTTCATGGAACCAGAACTAATTCATCGACAACCAGGCCCGGTTTTGGGGTGCGCCACTTGGAGCGCTGCTGCAGAAATGTTAAGTATTCTTCCTTCTACCGGGACCAAAAGATCTGCTGCAAGTAGGCCACGCGTTGCCATCCATCCAAGCGATTGAAGTTGAGGCTGGTCACGTCTGGCTCGACGAAAGATCAAGGCGGACCACCATTCAAAAAATGTGCTGTCGGTAATACATCCAGATCAGCAATTTATTGCGAGCGCCGACAAAGTTGGTTGCATTATCAGACCAAATCTGCCGTCGCTTTCTTCTAGTGCATATAAATTGTTTAAGGCCATGTAGAAATAACATTGTAGAGAGATCCTTAATCAACTCCAAATTAAAAGCTTTTGCGGCGAAACAAATGAAGACACAAACGTAGCATTTTACTGGAGGCATGCTTCGCACTTCTGACTTGTAAAGAAATGGTCCGCAAAAGTCAATGCCGGTGACTTCGAATGCATGAGATCCATCGAGTCGTTCCTTTGGAAGATCCGCCATTATATGCTCCACTAGTCGAGGCTTCATTCGATAGCATCTAATACATTTGTTTACTGTATTTATCACCGTCTTCCTCCCCTAATAGGCCAACATTGGGATCGAATTATGCCGAGTAGCGCCTGTGGCCCAGTATGCAGATTACTTTCGATAAAGTATATATATAGGGGAGAGGTCTGTAGGTTGAGACACCTTTTGTTTTTAGTCTCCCATTTGGACATTCGCTTTTGAAACTTCACGTGTTAAGTACCGATCGAAAGCTTAGTCTTTTAGCTGTAAAATAAAGCAAAAAAACAATTTTGTTTCCCTTGGGAAAACTAAAAAATAATTTTTTTTAAAAGTGCCAAAAAATGACAATTTGAAAAAGAGGTCTGTAGGTTGAGACACTTTTTAAAGTCAATAATACTCACACAAAAAGTACTCCAAACTATAAGGAACTATTTATTTATTCGTCCTAAATTATTTCCCATCCATTTTTTAAGAACTTCGACCAAATAACAATTAAAATCAAAAGGCTCTTTGAACATTCACTTTTCCCCTAATATCAAAGAAATGTGCTAGGCAGAAAGCGACCTCTGTTTGCCTAAGGCCTTTTTGTATGAAAAACGGGTGTCTCAACTTACACGCTCAAAGTGTCTCAACTTACACAAAATGGGATGTTTCGGAAAAAAATTAATAACATTTTTTTTCTGACTGTCACATTAAGCTGATTCTTTTTTAATTAGTTAACAGTTAATATACTAATGTTTTAAATCTCTTACCAAGTTAATTTAAAAGTAGTTAAAGTAGACAAAAACTTTTTTGTACTTTTGGTACACGACTCTCACAGCTTAAATCTGGCTAGAGCCTGGCTTATAATGTTTTCCCCAAAAGTTTTGTCACTAAAAAGAACTAAAAAAAAAAATAAAAAAAAATGTTTTAGTGGAAAAGTTTTGAGAAAATTGAGTGTCTCAACTTACAGACTGTCTCAACCTACAGACCTCTCCCCTATAAAATCATCCTTGGACCGCGATTTCTTCTGATTATCATAATAAAAATACACATGTGGTCATCCATGGTTATGAGAGTTCTTAAGAAATCGCTGTCCATCGAGGATAATTTTTACGCGGTTGTGAGGACTAGTTCCCTATAATACCAATTACTCAGATGTTTGGAATTTTAAATTAGTCTTATTTTGACAAAAAAGGAAAAGGGTACATATATACATATATGATTTTTATAGCCAACGTTAGAAAAGCATACTTGTTTTTTATAGCAAACCCGGGAACTTTGAAATTCAATTACACGAGAACCATGGCCGACCGCCAAGTTCTTTTTGAACGTAAATTCTTAAGAAATCGCGGTCCATCGAGGATAATTTTTTCGCGAATTTCGGGGGTGAGCCCGCTAATATATGGTATTACCGATATATATATATATATAAAATTTTGATTTCGTATAACTTTTTAATTAATAGTCCGATTTGAAAAATATATCTATCTATCTATCTTTAAAGGTGTGGGCGCCAGACACATTTTAAAATCGTTAGTGGGCGTTAGAGGGGGCATGGCGCTTGGCTGAAACAAACTTGCGTTGCGTAGGAACGCAACTACTTTTGTAGTTTTCGAGATCTCAGCGTTCATACGGACAGAAAGACGGACAGACAGACGGACATGGCTAGATCAAATCGGCTAATGACCCTGATCAAGAATATATATATGCTTTATAGGGTCGGAAAGGCTTTCTTCTACCTGTTACATACTTTTGCACGAATACAATATAGCCTTTTACTCTACGAGTAACGTGTATAAAAACGACCTCAAAGAGCCCCAAAATTCGATTTCTTTTTTTTTAATTATTTTTTTTTGACATTTCTCTGTTATAAATGTTGTTAAAATGGTTTAAAAATGTGATGTTCATAATCTCATGGCAAACCCGCAAATAACTGCATTTAAATTTTTTGACGATTCAGCATCCTTAACCAATTCCCTAATATTTTCAAATTTGTATGTATGTGTGTATGTTTTGCTGGCGCACTTTGTATGTTTTATTGCAGTCGCACTTTAAGTGTGACCGCGCAAGGGGAAAATGAAAATACCACATTTAAATTGCTTGGTAAAAGAATCGATTATATCGCAAATCTTTTCTTTGCACTTTTTTTTAGGTAAACAACAAAATTAAACTATTGGTAGACTTACAGAAATCCCATTAAGCTGATTTTTACAGTCGAAATTTTCTTTAAAATTGCTTTTATTTTTATAATGCAAAAAACTGATCAGCAAACTATTTATTAGATTTTAAACGTTAAGATATTGACAAATTGTTGATTTGAAATTGCCGCTGACTTAGGAAGTTAGATTCGCTTAAATTCAAATAAATGATAATACTGATATCCTTTTGCATAAAAAAAATTGCATTTACATTTCTGAAATAGATCGAATACATTGTTGAACTAAAAAGCTTTTTTTTATTAGTTAATGCAAACGAAAATAAGAAAATTGCTTGTTAACAATTTATTTTCGAAAGTGTACAGCAGGCGAGACGAGAATGCGTTTTATACCGAGGTCAGAATTCATAGAGTTTTCGAAGGGTCAGCCAGCCAAATGCTGGGCCCAAAAATGCAAGCATACAAGAAATGAGAGAAATACATAGAGAGAGATGCCTTTCGCAATGCAATTTATATAAGATTACGGATTTACAAGTTAATTAGCTATTGCGGCTGCGTGACCCGACATACTCCCCCCGTTGGAAGGCTGGGTTTTAACATCATCCCTAAGGGGCAGCAGACATAGCTTGTTAACTGCTCGCATTGTCACTACTGACACTGTCTTCAGAACGGCAACTCGAGCAACGCCATCTCCACCGAACAGAAGCTCAATCACTCTGGCGAGGGGCCACTTCATGGAACCAGAACTAATTCATCGACAACCAGGCCCGGTTTTGGGGTGCGCCACTTGGAGCGCTGCTGCAGAAATGTTAAGTATTCTTCCTTCTACCGGGACCAAAAGATCTGCTGCAAGTAGGCCACGCGTTGCCATCCATCCAAGCGATTGAAGTTGAGGCTGGTCACGTCTGGCTCGACGAAAGATCAAGGCGAACCACCATTCAAAAAATGTGCTGTCGGTAATACATCCAGATCAGCAATTTATTGCGAGCGCCGACAAAGTTGGTTGCATTATCAGACCAAATCTGCCGTCGCTTTCTTCTAGTGCATATAAATTGTTTAAGGCCATGTAGAAATAACATTGTAGAGAGATCCTTAATCAACTCCAAATTAAAAGCTTTTGCGGCGAAACAAATGAAGACACAAACGTAGCATTTTACTGGAGGCATGTTTCGCACTTCTGACTTGTAAAGAAATGGTCCGCAAAAGTCAATGCCGGTGACTTCGAATGCATGAGATCCATCGAGTCGTTCCTTTGGAAGATCCGCCATTATATGCTCCACTAGTCGAGGCTTCATTCGATAGCATCTAATACATTTGTTTACTGTATTTATCACCGTCTTCCTTTCCTAATAGGCCAACATTGGGATCGAATTATGCCGAGTAGCGCCTGTGGCCCAGTATGCAGATTACTTTCGATAAAGTATATATATAGGGGAGAGGTCTGTAGGTTGAGACACCTTTTGTTTTTAGTCTCCCATTTGGACATTCGCTTTTGAAACTTCACGTGTTAAGTACCGATCGAAAGCTTAGTCTTTTAGCTGTAAAATAAAGCAAAAAAACAATTTTGTTTCCCTTGGGAAAACTAAAAAATAATTTTTTTAAAAGTGCCAAAAAATGACAATTTGAAAAAGAGGTCTGTAGGTTGAGACACTTTTTAAAGTCAATAATACTCACACAAAAAGTACTCCAAACTATAAGGAACTATTTATTTATGTTAATTTAATCAATTTTAGTTCGTCCTAAATTATTTCCCATCCATTTTTTAAGAACTTCGACCAAATAACAATTAAAATCAAAAGGCTCTTTGAACATTCACTTTTCCCCTAATATCAAAGAAATGTGCTAGGCAGAAAGCGACCTCTGTTTGCCTAAGGCCTTTTTGTATGAAAAACGGGTGTCTCAACTTACACGCTCAAAGTGTCTCAACTTACACAAAATGGGATGTTTCGGAAAAAAATTAATAACATTTTTTTTTGACTGTCTAATTAAAAAAAATTTTTTTTTAATTAAAAAATTTTTTTAAAAAAAGGGGGGAGGGGGGGGGGGGGGGCATCACTGGGAGCCGAACCGGTTAAAAACCATGTAGGCTAAGCTTGCGCCTTTGTAATTTAGTACCGAATAAAAAGTGAAACCGAACAGAAGTGAAGAAACCAACCCCCGTCTTTTTTTGGAATTCAGTTTTCTTTGGGAGACCACACATTTGGAGTTACCTTTGGCAAGGACCCGCCCCAACATTTGGTCCTTCGAGCCGGATATATTTTCATCGTTCTCCAGCTAAGTAATTCCAAAGGGTTTTTCCCATTATCATATATACATATATATATTTTCCGCACAACCCCGCTCCACCGCTAAGGTCTCGTTTCCGTGCGGAAATATTTATATTTATATATCTCCTTTGATCTCCACAACTCTTTGCACTTTCCGTGCAATTCCACAAAAATTAAAACACAAAAATTGAACAACATCACACATACCCATACACATACACACATATACATCCATCATCCATTTTTCACATTGGGTTTTTTAAACTAAAACACTTTGCCAGCGCCCACCCGCCAAAAATCCATCAATTATCAACTTTCTTTGTAAATTAAAACACACAAAACAATAACAAACCAAAAATTAAAAGACAAAAATTGAACAAAATCACACATATCCATGCACATACACACATATACATCCATCATCCATTTTTTGTTCACATTGGGCTTTAGATTGAAACACTTTGCCAGCACCCATCCGCCAACAATCCATTGTTTTTCAGATTTCTTGTAAACATAACCAGCACACAAATAATAAAAAAGAAAACCCGGCATACGAACATTGCTGCAGAACCACCTGCTTGGCATACTTGTCGGACCGGCGAGTCTAAGGGTGGCGGCAACCGTTTTTTGAGTCTTTCTCCGCGGCATCCCGAGTGGAAAACAACCCAATAATCATTTAGCTGATATTTTATTAATTTTAATTATCGTTTGGTTGTTTTTTTTTTGTTTTGTTTTGCACATTGGTGTGTGTGTGGCACACCGGGTGTCCCGGGCATTCCGTACCGCAACACATCGTACAGAGTTTATAACAGGCCGTTCACACTACAGTGCATCTGGGACGCAACAAGAAATTCGATAAACTTTTCAAACTTAGAAATAAAAATAAATATAAATAAAATAAAAAACAAAATAAAGAACAAAATAAATCCTTCAACAGCGATTCGATTCAGTTCAGTTCATATATTTTTACAAATATATTTATTTCACATTCCATCCAAGTTACATATCGTACCCACTTACATTTTTGGGATATATTGATTCGTGGTAAGGTTTTCTGGCCAGCATCCAAATCGTTAAGCAGAAACACATTAAACAGCGACCGCGTCCACGTCTCCACTTAACTCGATTCACTTTCCAAACTTAGGAAGAAAAATACATAATTATGTTGAAGCGTTTTGTCCAAAAATAAAATAAAGCCTCAAGCAGCGTTCCGTTTCCACGCGTTCCGCCTCAATTCCTTCTGGTGCAGTCATATATGCGCCAAGACATACATCCAGTTCACATTCCATCCAATTTATATATCGTACCCACTTACACTTTTGGGATATATTGATTCGTGGTAAGGTTTTTTGACCAGCATCCAAATCGTTAAGCCGAGACGCATTAAACAGCGACAGCATCCACGTCCCTGTTCCTTTTCCGTCAGTGTAAGTGCAGGCTCCTACTCGAGCCTACTATGCCGATTGGTGAAGGTGAGGAACATAAAGTTCAGTTAACCGTCCCATTAGCCAGAACGCCCAGCCGGGCCAGAGCCAAAAGCGAGTCGTCACTACCCACCAAAAAGACAGCCCCTAGTAAAAGCTTAACTCCATCCATAAAGATCAACCGTCCGTCCAGGACAACAAGCGAAAAGTCCTTAACCCCTTCAAAACCAGTGAAAACAGCTGCGTCACAGCTAGTTTTGTCCTCGCAAGTTACTAGATCAACTGCGAAAATGGCGGAAGCTGAAGCTAAGGCTGCCTTGACCAAGTTTGTGGCTGTGACCGATAGGGTCAGTCAGTTCGAAGCTAGGGTCAATACCCCAACAGACCCACCTCCGTCTGTTCACACTAATAAGGTCAGGCTTCAGCAGATACAGGCTCTTTGGGACAAAGTAGAGAAAGAATACGAGACGTGCTCTGAGGTTATTTCCGTATTAAATTGTCCCGACACGATGGAAGTCATGCAAGCCAAGTATGACTACTGCTACTCTGTCTTTGAGCGATGCGCTGCAACACTAAACGAAACGATTGAAAGGGCTTGCGTTCAACCGATTCATGAACCGTCCACGCCGGTGTCTCAGCCTAGTGGATGCCGCGTACCTCCAATAGACTGTGAGATTTTCAGTGGCGACTATGTTCATTGGCCGACGTTCCGAGACCTTTTTTCCGCCATCTATGTCCAAAATCCGAGGCTTTCCGGCGTTGAAAAGTTGTTCCACCTCAACTCGAAAACGAGCGGAGAAGCAAAGTCTATTGTGGCGTTATCACCATTGACTAACGAAGGGTTTGAGTCCGCATGGGGAAATCTGCAGACTCGTTTTGAAAACAAGCGACTGCTCGTCAACAGCCAGCTAAAGATCCTGTTTAATCTTCCCACTGTTTCCCAAGAGTGTGGCAATTCCCTAAAGCACCTGGAGAGCACTGTCCAAGGTTGCTTGACAGCCTTAAAAATAGCTAAAGTAGACACAACAAATTGGGACTGCCTTCTCGTCTACCTGTGCTCCTCAAAGCTGCCGAAGCTGACATTGGCTCTGTGGGAACAGTCCCTCCTCAACCCATCCGAGATTCCAGGGTGGGAAGAATTCAAGAACTTCTTAAAAGGTCGTCATCGAACCCTGGAGGCAATTGAAGAATTTAAGCCTACCTTGAACACTCAATCCAGAGCTCCACGTTCTGAAGGTGGGCCCCGGATTATCCATAACTTTGAAAATAGGGTCACCGTAAATCCACAGTCGTGTAAACTTTGTCCAAGAGAGAACCATCCTATCCGTCTGTGTCCCCAGTTCCTAAATATGTCGGTTGCCGACAGGGAACAGTGTATTAAACAACAGAAACTTTGTCTGAACTGTTTTGCAAGAACCCACATGTTGAGAGACTGCACAAGTTCTCACAATTGCTATACGTGCAAAGGTCGCCACAATACTCTCCTCCATCGTAGCGGCCCTTCACAGCTCCAGTCCGCGTCAGTACCTGACCTCCAGCCAGAAATACAGTCCACTCCGTCGAACGTTCAAACGTACCTCGCCGTGAATACGCAAGGAGTCCTCCTGAGTACGGCGGTCATAGAGATCTGCCACTTGGGCATCAGGTACTCAGCTCGTGCCTTAATTGACTCCGGATCCGAGGCGACGTTTATTTCAGAACGGTTATTCAACCTAATTAAGCTCCCCTATGAATCCATACAAGCTCAAGTTTCGGGAGTAAATCAAACTGTTGCTGCTCAACCTCGTAAGCGCTGCCAATTCCATATAGGCTCCCCCATTAAGCCACAAATCCAAATCGAAGCGTCTGCATATGTGCTACCACATTTAGCCGGAAATCTTCCATCCTATACGATACCCGAAGGGTCGTTAAGGGACCTCCCTCCCGTACAGTTAGCAGACCCGAATTTCTACCAGAGTTCGCAAATTGACGTGCTTATAGGCGCCGATATCCTTCCGTCGATTATTTTGGGCGGCCTCCAGTCAAATGTTTGCGGAACACTCCTTGGCCAAGAGACCATATTCGGGTGGATTCTTTGCGGCCCAATCGCGAAGAATCCCACTAACCGAATATCTTCCTTCTCAGCACGGTTGTCTGTCACCGAATCTCAACTAGACGGCATCCTTACCAAGTTCTGGGAGGTGGAGGATGTTCCAGTGAAGCCGGGCAAGGAATCCAGCTCGGTGTGTGAAAATAACTTCCAGCAAACCACCACAAGGGATAAAGATGGGAGGTATGTTGTTTCTTTGCCCTTTAAAGAGCCTAACAAAATAAACCTGGGGCATTCACGGTCCATCGCACTGGCGCAATTCCTTAGGAACGAAGCACGGTTGAGTAAAAACGTTCCTTTGAGAGAGCAGTATGACTCAGTTATTCAGGAATATTTAGATTTAGGTCATATGCACCTAGTCTCTCCAAAAGACGACTCCAGCAATTTTTACTTGCCGCACCACGCGGTTTTCAAGCCAGACAGCACCACCACAAAGGTTCGCGTGGTGTTTAATGCCTCCAATAAATCGTCAAACGGGTACAGCCTAAATGATATCCTTCATACAGGTCCGGTACTGCAATCTGATTTGACAACCCAGATCCTCAAATGGCGTTTCTTTAGATACGTCTTCAATGCTGACATCACCAAGATGTATCGGCAGATTCTCGTCCATCCTGATCATACACGGTTCCAAAGAATCCTGTATGCCGCGATAAAGAGGGAAAACTGTGTGATTATGAGCTCAACACGGTCACTTTTGGCGTTAACTGTGCCCCCTTTCTGGCCATACGCGTGCTCCAACAACTGTCCCAGGATGTACGTGACCAATATCCTTTGGCAAGTGACATAATTTCGAACTTTATGTACGTCGATGATGTTTTAGCTGGCGCCCACACGCAGCAGTCCGCTGTTTCAGCCATCAAAGAGCTCTGCGGTGCCCTCGAGAGTGCGGGTTTTCCACTGCGCAAGTGGACCTCGAACGAGAAGAAACTTTTACAAGGTATTCCAAAGGAGGACTTGATCAGGGCCGACTTTCTGGAGCTGGAAGACGCCAGTATGGCAAAAACTCTGGGAATCCGTTGGCACGCGACATCGGATAGTTTCTTTTTTTTGCCGATGGATATTTCTCTCCAAACAACCTACACCAAACGAGAGGTTTTATCCCAGATAGCCAAACTGTTTGACCCAGCAGGTTGGTTATCGCCAGTTATTGTTCGGGCAAAAATTTTCATGCAAGAAATTTGGCTTCGGGAGTTAAGCTGGGACCAGCCTCTTCCGGTTGATCTTGTCACAAAGTGGCGTGACTTTCTTAAGGGATATCCAACATTAAAAGAAGTTCGCATTCCAAGATGGGTAAAATTTCATCCAGACGCAAAGCTGCAGTACCACGGGTTTTGCGATGCATCGCAGAGCGCCTATGGTGCTGCCATCTTCGTTCGCGTCGAAACGAGTGATGGCTTTTTTACCCAATTGCTTGTATCCAAAACCCGAGTAGCTCCAGTAAAGTCCCTTTCCATACCGCGATTAGAGCTGTGCGGTGCGGTGCTTCTCTCCGAACTCGCTGCAGCAGTTCTCTCCGAAATGCCTCCTACTCAGTATGAGACATATTATTGGACAGACTCCACGATAGTGCTTGCATGGCTAAGCAAGCCAGCATGCACTTGGACTACGTTCGTTGCCAACAGAGTCGCGAAAGTTCACCAGCTCACCAACAGAGAACAGTGGTTTCATGTGATATCGGAAGATAACCCAGCTGACCTGGCGAGCAGGGGCGTCTCAGTCCATGAGCTCAGGGACAGCAACCTCTGGTGGCACGGTCCTGAGTGGCTGCGTCACAACCGGGAGCAGTGGCCACTCAATTCGTCGGTTCCGCTTGAAACAGAGCTCGAACAACGCCCGATAAGATGTAACGTCGCCAAAGCGCCTCCGAAAACTGACCTTTTGGAGCGGTTTTTAGCATTCGAGAGGGCTTTACGCATTCTCGCGTACGTATTCCGGTTTGCAAGACTGTGTCGCAAACAAGATGTCAACGTAAAGTCGGAACTCACAGCTGCAGAGCTGTCTAACGTCCAAGAGAGGCTGATTGTGCTCACCCAACTCAATGAGTATCCAACAGAATGCAAGGCATTAGGCAAAAAGCAGCATATTCCAGTCTCCAGCACGATCTCCAATTTAAACCCCTTTGTCGACAGCCATGGTGTCTTAAGAGCAAGCGGTCGTCTACGAGCATCTGAGATGCTAAGCTATGATGAGAAACATCCAATCATCATTCCGGCAAGGTGCACTTTTGCCAAACTTTTGGTCCTCTTTACCCATCGCATATCCTTGCATGGGGGTAATCAATTGATGATCCGACTTATTCGCTCCAAGTATTGGATACCCCAGCTGAGAAATCTGGTAAAAGTCACCATTCATGCCTGTCGGGTGTGCACCATTCACAAACAGAAGCTGCAAACTCAGCTGATGGGGGACTTGCCCTGCGCAAGATCTACATTTTCCAGAGCTTTTACCCACACGGGCGTTGACTTTGCGGGACCATTTGATATTAAAAACTATGTCGGTCGAGGGTGCAAGATAACAAAAGGGTATGTTTGCGTTTTTGTGTGTTTCAGTACCCGAGCCATCCACCTAGAAGCTACATCAGACTTGACGACTGAAAAGTTTCTGGCGGCCTTCTCGCGTTTCTCCGCACGACGTGGCTGTCCGCAACACATACATTCTGACAACGGGAAAACGTTTGTGGGAGCCTCCACGTCCCTATCCAAGGACTTCATTGAAGCCACGAGGTCTTTGATCCTATCCAATTACAGCCTTCAAAATGTGACCTGGCACTTTAACCCTCCTGCCGCCCCTCATATGGGAGGGCTATGGGAGGCCGGTGTCAAAAGCTTTAAGGCACACTTCTACAAGCATACGGCGGGCGGGAAGTACACATTTGAAGAGTTAGCCACCCTCCTATCGAAAATTGAGGCCTGTTTAAATTCGAGGCCTATTTCTCCAATGTCCGAAGACCCCACGGACCTCGTAGCTCTCAGCCCCGGACATTTCCTAGTCGGTGGGCCACTCCTTTCCGTGGCGGAACCCGAGATTAAGGAAAACCCCATTTCCATTTTAAACCGATGGCGGCGGCTAAAGGCCCTGCATCAGCAATTTTGCTCACGTTGGAAAGAAGAGTACCTAAAGGAGCTCCATAAAAGGACTAAATGGCAATTTCCAACGCGAAATATTCAGACAGGGGACATGGTTGTGCTAAAAGAGGAGAATTTACCGCCAAATGAATGGCGGCTTGGGCGTATCCAACTGGTGTGCCCAGGCGCGGATGGCAAGACCCGAGTGGCAGAGGTTCTAACCGCACGTGGCATTATCCGACGACCAATCGCAAAGATGATCCGCCTTCCGATGGAGGCCTCCAGCTCCGAGTGATTCTGCCGTTTTCCTTCCTTTTTTTGGGTTAGCGACTGACAGCCAATCCTACTAGTCTTAAGTTCCTAAGTTCATATCATTCTGTATCGTCAGTCCTCATACATGTCACGATCATTCGCATCATACATCACCGCTAACTTTTGTTTACTCGTTTCCCCAGACTGTTCACGATGGCGCCAACCACGATCCAGCACGCTCGGCCACGCATAACCAACGGGTACAGGTGCCGCGTTTGCCGAGGGGTGCACGCACTGAGGAAGTGCCAACGGTTCCTCCGGCTCCCGGCGGTGAAGCGGCTCCGCGCGGTCCTGATCAACCAGTACTGTGCGAACTGCCTTGCTCACGAGCATTCCGGACAATCCTGCCGCAGTAAGGCCAAGTGCCACGTATGCAGTGGGAATCACCACACCCTCTTGCACTTCCAAGAGTCCACAACGCCACGCTCGTCACGACCCCAAGGCCGACAGCAGTCACGACCCCAAGGACAACAGCAGCAGAGAGCGGCGTCGACGACGTCGGTGCGCTCATCATCGCCGAAGGTGGTCTCCCCGACTCGAAGCCCTGCTACGGGCCCATCGTGCGCCGCTATCCTGCAGCGCACGAGTGTGAGCATCTTGCCAACTGCATCCATTTTGGTGGGGTCTGAGGAGAAACGGTTTGACGTCCGAGCTTTGGTGGATCCTTGCTGCCCCGTGAGTCGCATTCACGCATCTTTGGCAAAGGCTCTCAACCTTTCCGTCACCCGCGTAGGCGATGAGCGGGTGTGCACCACCGAAATCCGCTCAAAGTCGTCAAAAATGACCCGACAGCTGCTAATGCTGGTTGATGACCAGATGCAGACCCGAACTCCGGCCAAGCCCCTGGATCCGAAGGTCCGGGATGGCTTTCAAGACATCACTTTGGCTGACGACAGATGGTTCCACCCTTCCCTAGTGTCTGCTGTTTTGGGAGCCGACGTGTACGCGGAATTAATTCTGCCACGTATCCGCCCGAGTCAAAACGGACTGCCCATGGCGCAAAGTTCAGCCTTGGGCTGGCTCCTTTCGGGCACTTGCTCCCTGGCTTGATTCGCCACTCTCCCCATTGCGAGGGGGGGAGAATGTTCATGTCGAACGAGGTTCGCATCGCTGGTTCGGCATCACTGGGAGCCGAACCGGTTAAAAACCATGTAGGCTAAGCTTGCGCCTTTGTAATTTAGTACCGAATAAAAAGTGAAACCGAACAGAAGTGAAGAAACCAACCCCCGTCTTTTTTTGGAATTCAGTTTTCTTTGGGAGACCACACATTTGGAGTTACCTTTGGCAAGGACCCGCCCCAACATTAACAGTTAATATACTAATGTTTTAAATCTCTTACCAAGTTAATTTAAAAGTAGTTAAAGTAGACAAAAACTTTTTTGTACTTTTGGTACACGACTCTCACAGCTTAAATTTGGCTAGAGCCTGGCTTATAATGTTTTCCCCAAAAGTTTTGTCACTAAAAAGAACTAAAAAAAAAATAAAAAAAATTTTTTTAGTGGAAAAGTTTTGAGAAAATTGAGTGTCTCAACTTACAGACTGTCTCAACCTACAGACCTCTCCCCTATAAAATCATCCTTGGACCGCGATTTCTTCTGATTATCATAATAAAAATACACATGTGGTCATCCATGGTTATGAGAGTTCTTCAGAAATCGCTGTCCATCGAGGATAATTTTTACGCGGTTGTGAGGACTAGTTCCCTATAATACCAATTACTCAGATGTTTGGAATTTTAAATTAGTCTTATTTTGACAAAAAAGGAAAAGGGTACATATATACATATATGATTTTTATAGCCAACGTTAGAAAAGCATACTTGTTTTTTATAGCAAACCCGGGAACTTTGAAATTCAATTACACGAGAACCATGGCCGACCGCCAAGTTCTTTTTGAACGTAAATTCTTAAGAAATCGCGGTCCATCGAGGATAATTTTTTCGCGAATTTCGGGGGTGAGCCCGCTAATATATGGTATTACCGATATATATATATATATAAAATTTTGATTTCGTATAACTTTTTAATTAATAGTCCGATTTGAAAAATATATCTATCTATCTATCTTTAAAGGTGTGGGCGCCAGACACATTTTAAAATCGTTAGTGGTCGTTAGAGGGGGCATGGCGCTTGGCTGAAACAAACTTGCGTTGCGTAGGAAGCCCAAGAATAAGTGTGGAAAATCTCAACCTTCTAGCTTTTGTAGTTTTCGAGATCTCAGCGTTCATACGGACAGAAAGACGGACAGACAGACGGACATGGCTAGATCAAATCGGCTAATGACCCTGATCAAGAATATATATATGCTTTATAGGGTCGGAAAGGCTTTCTTCTACCTGTTACATACTTTTGCACGAATACAATATACCCTTTTACTCTACGAGTAACGTGTATAAAAACGACCTCAAAGAGCCCCAAAATTCGATTTCTTTTTTTTTAATTATTTTTTTTTGACATTTCTCTGTTATAAATGTTGTTAAAATGGTTTAAAAATGTGATGTTCATAATCTCATGGCAAACCCGCAAATAACTGCATTTAAATTTTTTGACGATTCAGCATCCTTAACCAATTCCCTAATATTTTCAAATTTGTATGTATGTGTGTATGTTTTGCTGGCGCACTTTGTATGTTTTATTGCAGTCGCACTTTAAGTGTGACCGCGCAAGGGGAAAATGAAAATACCACATTTAAATTGCTTGGTAAAAAAATCGATTATATCGCAAATCTTTTCTTTGCACTTTTTTTTTAGGTAAACAACAAAATTAAACTATTGGTAGACTTACAGAAATCCCATTAAGCTGATTTTTACAGTCGAAATTTTCTTTAAAATTGCTTTTATTTTTATAATGCAAAAAACTGATCAGCAAACTATTTATTAGATTTTAAACGTTAAGATATTGACAAATTGTTGATTTGAAATTGCCGCTGACTTAGGAAGTTAGATTCGCTTAAATTCAAATAAATGATAATACTGATATCCTTTTGCATAAAAAAAATTGCATTTACATTTCTGAAATAGATCGAATACATTGTTGAACTAAAAAGCTTTTTTTATTAGTTAATGCAAACGAAAATAAGAAAATTGCTTGTTAACAATTTATTTTCGAAAGTGTACAGCAGGCGAGACGAGAATGCGTTTTATACCGAGGTCAGAATTCATAGAGTTTTCGAAGGGTCAGCCAGCCAAATGCTGGGCCCAAAAATGCAAGCATACAAGAAATGAGAGAAATACATAGAGAGAGATGCCTTTCGCAATGCAATTTATATAAGATTACGGATTTACAAGTTAATTAGCTACTGCGGCTGCGTGACCCGACATACTCCCCCCGTTGGAAGGCTGGGTTTTAACATCATCCCTAAGGGGCAGCAGACATAGCTTGTTAACTGCTCGCATTGTCACTACTGACACTGTCTTCAGAACGGCAACTCGAGCAACGCCATCTCCACCGAACAGAAGCTCAATCACTCTGGCGAGGGGCCACTTCATGGAACCAGAACTAATTCATCGACAACCAGGCCCGGTTTTGGGGTGCGCCACTTGGAGCGCTGCTGCAGAAATGTTAAGTATTCTTCCTTCTACCGGGACCAAAAGATCTGCTGCAAGTAGGCCACGCGTTGCCATCCATCCAAGCGATTGAAGTTGAGGCTGGTCACGTCTGGCTCGACGAAAGATCAAGGCGGACCACCATTCAAAAAATGTGCTGTCGGTAATACATCCAGATCAGCAATTTATTGCGAGCGCCGACAAAGTTGGTTGCATTATCAGACCAAATCTGCCGTCGCTTTCTTCTAGTGCATATAAATTGTTTAAGGCCATGTAGAAATAACATTGTAGAGAGATCCTTAATCAACTCAAAATTAAAAGCTTTTGCGGCGAAACAAATGAAGACACAAACGTAGCATTTTACTGGTGGCATGCTTCGCATTTCTGACTTGTAAAGAAATGGTCCGCAAAAGTCAATGCCGGTGACTTCGAATGCATGAGATCCATCGAGTCGTTCCTTTGGAAGATCCGCCATTATATGCTCCACTAGTCGAGGCTTCATTCGATAGCATCTAATACATTTGTTTACTGTATTTATCACCGTCTTCCTCCCCCAATAGGCCAACATTGGGATCGAATTATGCCGAGTAGCGCCTGTGGCCCAGTATGCAGATTACTTTCGTGAAAGTGAGTAATAATGGCAGCAGTGACCGAATGGCTCCGTGTTAAGATAATTGGATGGCGCCCATCAAATTGATCAACGAATGGCGAATGAGATGCGATCGAGCTGGATGGATCCCTTTGACTGCAACGATTTGATGTCGTCCCATAAATGTGAGCGCTGGACCAGACGAAGCAACAACCGAGTACCGCCTTGAGGATCAGACACCGTGATCGTAGGGCGACGTATGCGAGTACTAAACTTGAAGACGTATCCGAAAACTCTTTGAAGGGCAGCAAAGGAATAACCACTATGTCTTCGTATGGAGATTTTAATAGTAGAATCTTTCGGCGAATATTAAGCGGTGGCCTTACATCAATGATTGGGGCTGGCCAGTCAGCCTTGGGGCCACAAAGGAATTTTGGTCCACGTGCCCACAAAAGAGACTCGTTAAGCTCAGCACGAAAAGCACCTCGGGAGAGAATGTCAGCTGGATTCAAAAAAGTTGGAACATATCGCCACTCTACTGACTCAGTTAGCTCTTGAATGGCAGCTACTCGGTTCGCTACAAAAATGTTGAACCTGGAGGGCTCGTCCCGGATCCATGAAAGCGCAACAGCAGAGTCGCTCCAGCAGTATACCTTTCCCTCAAATGCCTTAGTCCCAGCCACTTTTGCGATGAGCCTAGACAGGAGTTCAGCCCCACAAAGTTCCAGCTTGGGTACAGTGAGTGTTTTTAAGGGGGCTACCCCTGACTTTGAGCAAAGCAATTAATATCGGCCGTTACAAACGATGTAGACACAGGCACCATATGCTTCTATGCTGGCATCAAAAAATCCATGAATCTCACTCTCAGAGTTTGGAGAAAGAACCAGCCGAGAAAATGACGCATGCTAATCTGCCCACAACTCGTGCATGTAGCACTCCATTCCGTATTCTGTGACTCCGGGAGGCTTTTATCCCAAGATAACTTCTCCTTGCACAGTTGTTAAAGGAAAATTTTTCGATTTTGTGATTGCTACCGGGTGTGAACGAAACCGAAGAAGAATCTGGAACAGCTTATGTTGAATTACAGGGCCTGCCATAAGAGCATCGTTGAAAGAATACCCTGAAAAACTGGCCGCCGATCCGTCAAAAACTACGCGGAGCTTTGTGGTAGAGCTATCTTCCTTTATGACGCAATGATGAGGCAGACACTGATGACATATGTCCTAGATCGAGATATTCCTTTATGAATGCTCCATATTGAGCCTTCAAGGCTGGCTGACGATTTAGCTTTCTCTCTAAGGAAAAGAATGTTCGATAAGCTTGCTAGTAGGACTCTCCCAAGAGGTCTAGATTGAGCTTGGCAGGTAGCCGAACAGAATAATCCCCAGCTGGCAAACAAACAACATGGCTTACGAAATGTGCTTCACAGTCCAATTTTTCCTTAGTAGCTTTCCACTTCCCAAAATCATCGAAGAAGATCATCTAACCGATCGAAACTATTCTCCCTACTAGCGAGGAGTAACTTTTGAGACGACAATAGGGACGAGCTATTGGAGAGGCCATAGCCTCCACAAACAACCGAACCCAGACGAGTCTTTTAAAGTAGGGCTTATCATGTGGGAGCTTAATTTGGCCAACGCTTAACATCTCGTAAAAGAGGCTGGCTCCGATTAAAAGGTCCACCCGCTGGGGAGTATAAAACCTGGCTAACTGAATATTTATACCCTTCCATAGGGTATTATAATTTCAGTCAGATGTTTGCAACGCAGTGAAGGAGACGTTTCCGACCACATGAAGTATATATATTCTTGATCACCACCAATAGCGGAGTCTATCTAGCCATGCCCGTCAGCGAACTTGTCTCTCAGTTTTAAAGCTATCGCGATGAAACTTTCCCGAAAGTTTTCTTACTAGTGCAGATAGTACATATGTCGGAACGAGCCGGATCGGACCACTATATGTTATGCCTTCCATAGAAATAATCAAAAAAAAAGTAATAGAAAAACAAGAAAGAAAGCTAGCTTCGGCCAGCCCTTGCAGCCCTATTAATCAATAATTTTCCGATCGTTCCTATGGCAGCTATATGATTT